TACGCACGGGTTTATTTCTGGGATTTTAGTTCTCTTCCATTGGTCTATGCATCTATTTTTATGCTGGTACCATACTGTTTTGATTACTATGAGTTTATAATAAAGCTTGAAATCAGGAAGTATGATACTTCTCTCTTTGTTCTTCTTTCTCAGGATTGCTTTGGCTATTTGGGTACTTTTATGGTTCCATATAAATTTTATAATTGTTTTTCCTACTTCTATAAAAAATGCCACTGCAATCTTAATAGGGATTTCACTGAATCTATAGATGACTTTGGGTACTATGGATGTTACAATATTCCTGCAATCCGAGAAGACAATTTATTTCATCAGTGTTTTGTAGTTTTCAGTAGAGATCTTTCACTTCTTCAGTTGAATTTATTCCTATCTTACTGTTTTTGGTGCTGTTGTAAATGGGGGTCATTTTATTAGTTTTGCAGATAATTTTTTAGTGTATGGAAATGTCACTTATTTTTGTATGTTAACTTTGTATCCTACAACTCTACTGAATTTGTTCATTAGCTCTAACACTTTCTGGAGTCCTGAAGTTTTTCTATATGTAAAATCATCTGCAAATAGAGACAGAGTCACTTCTTCCTTTCTTTATGTGATGCCTTTTATTTCTTTTTCTTGCCTGACTGCTCTAGCTAGGACTTCCAGTACTGTGTTGAATAGGAGTTGTGAGTGGGCACCCTGGTCTTGTTCCTATTCTCAGAGGAAAAGTTCTCAACTTTTCACCACTGATGTTAACTGTGGACTTGTCATGTTGCCGTTATTATGTAGAGGTACATTTCTTATATACCTAATTTGTTAAATTTTTACCACGAACAGATGTCAAATTTTGTAAAAATGCTTTTTTCTGCTTCTATTGTGATAATCGTATGATTTTATTAACGTGACGTAGAACATTGACTATATATTTTGTTTCTTCTTGATTCAGTCTTACAGGTTTCTAATAACTTCCATTACTTCTAGGTTGTCCAGTTTGTCATATAGCATCTTATGGTTGTTCCAGTTCATAGTAGTATCTTATGGTCCTTTGCCTTTCTATTGGGGATCAGTTGTAATGTCTCCTTTTTTAATCATAATTTTGATTTGGATCATCTCTCTTTTTGCCTTGGTTAGTCTAGCTAAAGTTTGTCAATTTTGTTTCTTTTCAAAGAACCAAGTCTTAGTTTTGTTAATCTTCTGCTGTTTTCCTGCTCTTATTTCTGCTCTAATCTTTATTATTTCCTTCCTTCTGCTAACTTTGGACTTAGTTTGTTCTTTTCCTACTTTCTTAAAGAGTAGGTTATCAGATCTTTCTTGATTCTTAATGTAGGCATTTATTACTCTGAACTTCCCTCTTAAAACTGTTGTTGCTGCATTCTATAAGTTTTGATGTGTTGTATTTCATTTTGGTCTCAAGATACTTTGTTTTCCTTTTATTCATTCTTTGATCCATTGGTTGCTCAGGAAAAATGTTAACTTCCATTTATTTGTGAATTTCCCAGTTTTCCTAGAATTGATTTCTAGTTTCATGCCATTGTAGTTATGGTTACTTTTATTACCTTTTTTAACGTTTTTTTAAGTTTACTTTGAGAGAGGTTGAGAGATCACAAGCAGGGGAGGGTCAGAGAGAGGGAGAAAGAGAATCCCAAGGAGGATCCATGTTGTTAGCACAGAGCTGGATGCAGGCCTCTATCTCACAAACCATGAGATCATAACCTGAGCTGAAATCAAGAGTCAGACACTTAACTGACTAAGCCACCCAGGTGCCCCTGAAGTTTTTAAACTTTTAAAAGTACATAATGCACAACCATTATATTACAAATTCTAATTTTGACTATATGTTTACTATTACCAGTGAGTTTTAGGCTACCTTAAGTATTTATGATGTTAACCAGCATCCTTTTACTTTCAAAGAATTCCCGTTAGCATTTCTTACAAGGAAGGTCTAGTAAGATTATGAGCTACTTCGGTTTTAGTTTGTTTTTTCTCTCTTTCATTTCTAAAGGACAGTTTTGCCAACTATAGAATTCTTGACAGTTTTTTCCTTTAATATTTTGAATATATCATCCTATTCTCTCCTGGCCTGAAAATTTTTTGTTGAGAAGTGCATTCATAGTTATATATAATTTTTCTTTTGCTTATTTCAACATTAGACTCATGACAATATAGTGTGTCTCAATATAGTGTGTCTCAGCTTCATGGATCTCAATGTCCATTTCTCTCTCCAAGTTTGAGAAACTTTCAGCTATTACTGCCCTAAATATATTTTCTGTCCCATTCTTTTTCTCTTCTCAAATTCCCATAATGCAATTCATTTTAGCATGTCCTATATAAGTCCCATATACCTTCTTCACTTTTTCATTCTTTTCTCCTTCGCTCCTCTGACTACATAATTTTAAATCCCGTTTTCTAGGTCACAGATTCTTTCTTCTACATGGTCGAGTCTGATTTTCAAGTTCTCTATTGAATTCTTCAGTTCAGACGTTGTATTTTTCAGCTCTAGGATTTCTTTTTCTGCACCACCCCCATTTTTCTTTGTTGAATTTCTTTTTGTTCATGCATTATTTTGCTAATTTTATTTAGTTGTCTGTGCATTCTTGTAATTCACTAAACTTTTTTAAAGAATTCTGAATTGTTTGTAGAACAGTTTACAGATCTCCATGTCCTTTTTTAAAAATTTTAATGTTGTCTTTTTGAGAGAGAGCACACGTGCATGCACAGGTGGGGGAGGGGCAGAGTGGGAGGGAGACACAGAATATGAAGCAGGCTCCAGGCTCTGCACTGTCGGCACAAAGCCTGGTATGCGGCTCGAACTCACGAACCACGAGATCATGACCTAAGCCAAAGTCAGATCTTTAACCAAGTGAGCCACCCAGGTGCCCCTTGCAGATCTCTATTTTAGGGTCAGTTACCAGAACTTTATTAGTTTCCTTTGGCATGGTCATGTTTACCTGATTCTTTTGTGATTCCTAATTTCTGATGCTGCTATCTCAACATTTGAAGAAGTGGTCTACTCTTCCATACTTCATAGGTTTGCTTTAACCAAGAGTTCTTCACCAGGCAGCTCAGTTTGGGTTTCTGGACATGTCTACTAGTAACATTCTTGGGCAGATGAAGGTTGCTTTTAAGGCCATCTGTTTTTGGGCAGGGCAAGCTCTGAGGTTGGGGTGGGGCAAGGGGTGGGGTGTGCTGCTAGCTGGGAATAGTTGAATAGGACTGCTGAGTTGGTTCTCTGCCCAAGCAAGGCTTTAGGATGGGCTCTGCAGGTGCCTGGGTTTTCTAGTCAGGCTTACTAGTAGGTGGGGCTATGAAGTCACTTCCCTGAACTGACAGAGCAGCAGGACAGGCCATAAGGCCTGCACAGGTTGTTTGGGGACTCAAGTCAGACAAGATTGTGCATGGAGTTTCCTGGCCAGGTGGGGCCACCAGTTTTGCAGTGCAGACAGGGATAGTACCAGGTTGTGCTTTCTCTTCAAGTGCCACTATAACAAGGTCTTTGGATGGGCTACACAGCTTCCTGTGTGATCTGGCTAGGTTTCCTGGTCAGATGGGCTGAAGGCTCTATTCAGCAATGGCTAGGGCTATGAATCACTTTCCCTGTTCATGGAGAGCATGAGAACCAGCTCCAAGGCCTAAAGTTTTGTGGCTGACTCAAGCTGACCTGCACCCCAAGGTCCCTGGCTATACAGGGCCACGGTTTTTGCTTTGCAGATAACCAGCTCTACCTGCTATACCTCTCCAGGTGGTCTGTCCAGGCTTTGGTCAGGCAGGGCCAGGAGCAACACTCATGTGTGGGCCAGGTTATGCCTCAGCTCCCCTGCCTGAGTTGAAGCAGACCAGACTTCCAGCGGTGACAAGTCTCTTTAAGAACCACTCAGGCACCCTGCTGAGTTCCCTGGTCAGACCGCACCTCTGTTTTGGCTCTGCAGATGAGCAAAATTAAAGATTGGGACTACTACTTGCACACTGCAGGTAGGAACTTGGTCTGCAAAGACCCACATACTGGTTGTTGCAAGCCCCTACCTTCCCCATCACAGACTCCCAGTGGCCAAGTCCCACAGATTCCCTGGCAATCCCCATGGGATGAGACCACAGTGGGGGCTCCCAAGAAGTGACCTACAATGCTGGGGGTGCTGGATTCCACCCTGGGTTCCTTTTTCCCATTTGAGGAACCATAGGCTAAAGTCATTTTGGTGCGGTGTTACACCAGCCTGATGGAGGGGCAGTGCAGTCTGCATGTAGCTGTTCCTCATATACCATTGTAGTCTGTCTTGGCCCCTGTGGTGCATGGTCTCTCCCATGTTCTAGGACTTTCCCAGTGGTGTCTTATCCGTGAATAGTTGTTAGTTGTTTTGGTAAAGGGAATAAGGAACAACCTATGTTGTCATCCTGGTGTGATGTGCCATCTACTCAGCCCTGTCTACTTGATGGATTTTCACCTTAATCGTGAGGAATGTGCCTGACATGTAACAGGCTCTGAACAAATGTTGGCTCCTTCCAGTGTAGCCTAGCCTTCCATCCTTCTTCACAAAATACACAATGCTTCGTACACCTCTCATTACTTTCCTGGCACAAATGTCCATATCTCCACTTACGCCAGTTCTGCCTAGAGTACCCTTCTCTGCCCAGTAAGCTCCTATGCATCCTTTAAAGCCCAGCACAAGTATCAGCCTTATAAGGCCTTACCAGACCACCAGGAATTATCAGTCTCACATGATCTCATGCAATCTAGCTCCTCAGTTTTACATAGTACTTCTCATTTATTTACACATTAGCCCAACCCACCCTGAGGGCAGATTCATCTGATTCCTAGTTCAGGAACTGTTTGATTTTAAAAAATAATGATTTTTTTTCAACATTAAACCTACTGCCACTGTAAATTAGGAATGGGAGCTTAAATGAATCTCCCAGTTCAGCAAACTATACCTATAGCTTCTAGGAACCCTAAGGAAACTTTGTTTTCTCAGTACTGTGATCTTAAAGTCTCTCCTCTCTTCTGACCTCACCAGCTACCAGCTTAGGAAGCACCTGTCCCACCTTCTGCACATGAAGCAGCTTGGAACCAGAGATGTGGACAGATGGAACCGAGAGTGCCTGGCATTGCTGCTCCAAGTTTGGAGGAAAGAACTGGAACTAACCCCCCCAAAGACCACTGCAGTAAGCAGGACCACGAAGAGTCCATCCAAGGGCAGCTCAGGCACAAAGTCCACCAGACACTTAGTACTCAAGCAAATCTACGGTAAATGTCCTTCTGGGCACGTTGTAGTTGACAACAAGCACCCCCAGAGTGTTGCATCAGAATCTGAAATGGGATTTAATTACACTGGGCAAACCTCCATTCAGATAGGAACTTGACTTCCAAGAACCAAGAGAATTTTCAACACACATTTAATGCCTCCCCTCCAGCAATTCTAGCTCGGAACTGGTTTGATGATGCGTTCTGGCATCTCAATCAAGAGGTCTTCTGCTGGCCTTCATTACCCTTTAAACCCCTCCAGACCACTGCTTGGGTCCTCCCCTTATATTACCCATTTGGAGGGCTCCAGAAGCAGGAACACCTTGCCTGCCTCACTTTGACCTTCCTTATGCTAAAATAGTACAGGGCTGCCCATCTGTGGGAATGCCCCAGACCCACGCACAATAGTAAATACTTGCTCAGCAGATGAATTGCTTTAAATTGGGACATTTTCAGCTCTGGAAAGAACCCATTCAAATAAACTCAGCAGAGAAGAGGCCTAGATAGCTCCCCAAAAGAAAAAAGTTGAGCCAAGGCACTTGAGAAATAGATCTGCAGCCCAGGCAGCAAAATCTCAGGACTTTACTCTGGGCCTACATGGTATTTCCACACCATACCTAATTTCTCTTGGCAGATATCAACAAGCTCAAGCCTTTACCTCAAAAAGGAACTTAGAACTTGGTGAGGCCACAGCTAACCTTGGTCAGAGAGGAATAGTCACTGTTGGTTGATTTCAGGTTGTTCTCAAGAAGGGAAAGTTCCTCATCCCACAAGATCTCCCAAAGCCCATCCTGTGCTGCATCTCAATTCAGGTAAGGTAGCCACTGCCCTGGCAAAGCAGATTGGGAAGACAATGTGGGGAAGCATTTGCCTTTTTTGTTTCATCCTCAAAGATGGAAGACAGGAGGACAGAGATTGCTAGGAATTTCCAATGGTCATTTCCTTTGAGGTGTACATGTTTTTCATTCCCCTTTCGTGGAATTATTACTGCAATCAACATGCCTCCCTAACAGGCAAGTTATTTTCACAACCACAAGTTATTGTTAACATTACCTCCAGTAGAGACAATAAATGGTACTTTTACATACTTGTTCACATGAAGGGGGGACAATGAAAATACTGTCATTCTTCAAAGTAATACCTTGGGAATTCTTGTTCTGTATTGATTTCACATTAAGATTCTTCATCTCCTTCCCAAACTTGAGAGGTTCCTTAACCACAAATTCTGGCCTTTGCCTTTCACGGCCCATGAAGGGGACATGTACTATCTAATAACACGTCCTGCTCAGGCTTCACCGTGCACAATTTCACTCATGCTCAGGGAACTTTCTTTTCAGCCACAAGACAAGAGTATTTTACTCTGGGCCCCCTTCATTCACACCAGCATTAAATCTGGGTGATAAGTTCAGTGCTGTCAGCAGTTAATGCCAGATCCAGTGTTGTTCATGGGTGGCCATGGCAACACGCTCCCCCCACCCCACCCTTGCTGATCCAGTCATCCTGCAGGAATAGAGTGCAGCTGGAAGGTGAACAATGACTGTCAGCGTGAACTTTAACATTCATTTAGTTTTTGATTGGGGGGGGGGGGGAGAACCTGGAGGTAGGGGGCAGTGTAATTACTGCCCAATCTTTAATATGGGTTGGCCAACTCATGTAATATAGGCAGGCTGATCAGGGAGTAGCGGATAGGGTAGTTACAACTGTGGGCCTTAATTCCTTTGAAACTTTCCATGTTTAAAAAAAAAAAAAAGCTTTTGTTCTACTTGAATGAATTGAAAATTAGTTTCAAAAACAATGGTCAGACAGAACTACCAGAAAAGTAGCATTTAAATAAAACATTTTTTTTTACTTAGTCCTGGGTTTTTCTCTTGAGACAATCAGAAATCATAAAAATGAGGTGTTTAGAAACACAAAAGGTTTTTAGTCAAAGGGTTCACAGTTAAGGGACGAATAAACAAACTCAAATATACTTAGTGGTTTTTTGGGATTTCATATGAACAAGTAGCTTGTTTGTCCTACACATGTAATTCTAAGTGGCTTGAAAACCGACAAGGTCTTAAGAGAATCTTTTCCTAACCCTAAATGGGGGAACACAAGGTTTTGTTAAGTCTACACATGTACATTAAGGCACTATCCAGTGAGCTGATTATCAAAGCTGCTAATTAGTGTAGCTGGAGCCCATATATGTTTCATACAGAAAGCATCTATAAATAGTTTCCATGGAAATGGGCATCTGTGATTCCACATTGCAGAAATTTGTGTGTGTCAGTTGTGCCCAACTGAACCAAAAAGAGAACATTAATTTTGGTCTTCTCCATGAATAAAAATGTTAGTTCATTTTTTTTGCTTTGAGAATTCCATGGGGTTTAGGATCTTCTGATTTGCTCACTGTCCTATTCACTTTTAGGAAATTATTTGGCACATAGTAGGTGCTCAAATACTTAAGCAAGGATTGTTGCTCCCAACTTCCAGCATAGGAGAGGCTTTAGTAGTGCCTTTACCTCTTTAAAGAGGAAGCAGAAAGTGAGCTGGATATAGCAAAGTATATAGCCTCCTTGGCCTGTGTTTCTCTACATGCATTTGGGAGACTCCACAATCCCTGTTTTCTCTAGTCCTTCAACAGCAACCCCCGTATACCACCCACAAAATAGCAGCATAGTATTGGTCAGAGAGCATATACATAGAACTTATATATGTATATAAATATATAACCTCCAGGGTGCACCTGGGTGGCTCAGTCAGTTAAGCATCTGACTCTGGATTTTGGCTCAAGTCATGATCTCATGGTAGTGAGATCAAGCCCTGTGTTAAGCTCTGTGATGAGCATGGAAGCCTGCTTGTGTTTTTTTCTTTTTTTTCCCCCCCCCCCCCCCCCGCCCCAACCACTCCCTTCTGCCTCTCTCCCTTGCTTGGGCTCACACTCCTAAATTTGGGAGCCCTTCTTTTTAAATATAAAAGAACTACCTTTAAAAAGCCCATTCCAATGAATGGAATAACCATGGCTCAAGTGATTACTACTAATGATAACCCCTTTGTATGAATGCAGAATATTCCTGCCCATCTACAGATGGGTATACAGATAACTCAAGACTTGATACAGTAAAGGCAGCCAAAACAGAATTCAGTATCAGTAGTTCACTTTAAATAACCATAATAAAACCAGGAGAGAAAAAGTAAGACATGTTTGTAACTTTCTGAAACTATTCACCTCTCATGTTTGCTCCTTTGCTCCACAGAGAGAGGAAAAACAGAACAATTTGGCCTCAGCAAGAGGGTTGAATACATCACTGTTTTCCAACTGTGACATCTTAAAAGTTTTCATCCTATAAGTAACTTCAAAGTCATAAAAAGGCCTAAAAATACCCATTTCAAGGTTGATATGCCTATCAGTCTGTCATCCTTGAAGATAGTAAATTTTCAAATGAAATGGCTTTCTAGAATGTACTATATAGCCTAGTGTGTGGTACATGGCAAGTTGAGAAATACGTGTGTATATGTGTTTGTGTTATGTATGACCTACATAAAGAAAGCTATACCAGTTATTCTAGACAGACTGAAGACCTAGGTCCCAGTCCCAGCTCAAGTACCTGGCCTCTCCCAGTCAAGGTTCTTCAAGAGCTGTCAGGTATCAGGGCACCTGGGTGGAAGTGTCCAACTTCGGCTCAGGTCACTGCCTCATGGTTCAGGAGTCCAAGCTCTGAGTCAGTCTCTGCACTGATAGTGCAGAGCCTGCTTGGGATTCTCTCTCTTCCTCTCTCTGCACCTTCCCCACTTGTGCTCTCGCTCTCAATCTTTAAAAATGTCCTATATATGGGGCGCCTGGGTGGCGCAGTCGGTTAAGCATCCGACTTCAGCCAGGTCACAATCTCGCAGTCCATGAGTTCGAGCCCCGCGTCGGGCTCTGGGGTTCTGTGTCTCCCTCTCTTTCTGCCCCTCCCCAGTTCATGCTCTGTCTCTCTCTGTCCCAAAAATAAATAAACGTTGAAAAAAATAAATTTAAAAAAATTTAAAAATGTCCTGTATCTTCGAGGATGATGTAAAATGCAAGGTTGGTAAGTCACCTGTCTCTACAACAAACTGGCTGTCACCTTCCTAGCTCCCTGGATAGTCCATATCTAAGCCCTTTACCTCACCAGCAATGAACTTTTCAGTATTAAAAATAACAAATATCTCTCTGGTATTTGCTTTTAACAGTGAGCAACTTGCAGTGTATACACCTCCTTGAGAATAGTGGAAGATCAAAGAATTTTTCTTATAACCTGCAATCAGCTACTCAATCAAAAACCAAAACAAAGCTTCGACCACCTGTGGAGGAAGACCGTGTCCGGGGGAACTGGAATAGCTAGTGCAGAGTTCTAATTCTCTGCTGATTAACTTTTCCATCTTGAGAAAACTTTAATATTCATGCCTCAAGCCTTATTAGCCTGAAAACATGGTAACAACTGAATGACAATGTCAGGATGTTTTCTTTCTGCTCTTATACAGCACTGTTAGCCTGTGCTACAACCACCACAGTAGACTATACCCGTGCAAAACTTCCTAGCTGTCTGCCCTCACTTCAGTCAGTACAGCTATAAAGTAGAACACATAATTAACAGTAACGTCTAAGCCAAACTAAGAACATGAGCGCTAACATGAGATTTCTGCCAGCCAGCTGATGCAAGCCTGGTTTTTTGGCTCCAGGGAAGAACCTACATGAGAGGGGGAAGAGCCTGTCCTATAGCTGCCATTTTTATCAGTTGGACCAGACCATTCATGCATAACCTACCAATTCACTTGTATTTTCTGCCTGACCTATAGGTGAGCAAGCTTGTCAAAATGCCATTCCTATTGGCAGGGAAAACTGCTAAACCTACATACATTCAAGCTATAAGAACACCTGGCATAAATTTCAGTGGTTATGGGCTTTTTCACATTTTTTAAAAAGTTTTATTTATATTTGGGGTGCCTGGGTGGCTCAGTCGATTAAACATCCAACTTCAGCTCAGGTCATGAACTCATGGTTCATGGGTTCGAGCCCCCTGTTCTGATAGCTCAGAGCCTGGAGCCTGCTTTGGATTCTGTGTCTCCCTCTCTCTTTTCCTCCCCTTTGGATTCTCTCTCTCTCTTCTCAAAAATAAAAAAAAATTGTTTTTGAGAGAGAGCGTAAGCAGGAAAAGGGGTGGGAGTGGAGTGGGAGGAAGGGACAGAGGACTGGAAGCAGGATCTGCGCAGACAGCAAGCTTGATTCGGGGCTCAACCTCACAAGCTCCAAGATCATGACCTTAGCCGAAGTCGGATACTCAACCAACTGAGCCACCCAAGTGCCCCAGTTTTTTCACATTTTTAAGAGCAAAGCTACCATAGGAATGTAGACAGAAGGCATAAACAGTGGCATGTTAGGCCCAAATATTTGTAGTAGGAGCATTTCCATTTTCTTAAGATTATTGCCACCCGTCCTGACAGGTAGAGATAAGCAGCAATAAAGTGTTACCTTGATTTTTGTTACAATTTGCTAATTATTTCATAATTCTGAAAATAGTTAATCCTTGAACAACCAGGTTTGTGTGGGTCCTCTTAACATGGATTTTTTTCCAATAAATGTATATAGTATCAATAAATATAGCCATGGTACTGCAAATGTGTTCTTTTCTCTAGCTTGCTTTATTATAAGAATTGCGTATATAATATGTATACAAAATAGGTGTAGAGGTGCCTGGGTGGCTCAGTTGGTTAAGCGTCTGAGTCTTGACTTCAGCTCAGGTCATGATCTCCCAGTCATGAGATTGAGCCTCGTGTTGGGCTCCACGCTGAGCGTGGAGCATGCTTAGAAGATTCTCTCTCTCCCTCTTCCCTTTCCCCGCTCTCACTCAGAAAAAAATATGTGTAAATTGATTATCAGTAAGGCCTCTGGTCAACAGGCTATTAGTAGTTAAATTTTGGGGTAGTCAAATGTTATACATGGATTTTTTGACTGGGGGTGTGGGTGTCAGCATAAATCACTATATATGGCTTATAATTTTAAAAGAATTATAATGGTCATTAGTAGAAAGTAATTTTGAAAGAAGAATTATCTAAATCAAACCAAGTACCATTTGAGGAAAACCTCAAACAACCGTAGTACTATCTTGAAATCTTGCTCCTGCAGAAGGAGCTAGAAAACCTCTGTAAATAACAGAACTCCACAGTGAGGAGCTGAATGTCATGATGGATAAAGGCAACCATTCCCAAATAAAAAATTGGTTTCTGTTGCTGTGTGAATGAACTAGAACTGAGACCACAAAGATTCGTTCTTGGTAAATAACAGAAGGTACTGTATCATTCCATATTTTGTAAATATTTAGTTTCTATGAAATGCAAAATACTCTACCCACCTGTGACCAAGTATAATGTCCTGGTCCAAGAAGCCAGCCTGTGTTATTTTCCTACCTTAATGCAAAGGAAGGTTCATAAACAGCTTCTTTAAAAGTTCAGCTTTAATGACAAACATTACATCAGTTTCTCTTCAAAATTAGATAGACGTGAATAAACAATTTCAAACAGGAGGTACCATGGTGCCTCTTATTGTACTCAATACACTGTACTCAATGCAGTGGGCCCCTGGGGATGCCCAGTGATATACACATTGAAGCAATAATGTAAGTCTGTGAGCCACTGTTCTTGAATACTTCCAGTCTTCAATGTCTGCAGAGAAAAACAAAAGTAATTTGAGAATTATATCAAAGTTGTTATGCTACCTGACAGTATTTTTCAGGCCCAAACGAGATCTCAGAACCACCGCAATCCTATCTCCTACATTTATCAATCACCACAGGATATTTGTTAATTGGGCATTACCACAGGTAGTGAAAATTCCCGGGTACAACCTCAAGTACAAGTGCTACCAGTTTCTCGTTTCATCTGTTCCTTCTCAAATATTGCCAGGAACTAATGACATTTCACCATCAACCATCTCCACACTCTGGACTTCCCTTGGTATGCTCGAGTCTCACAATCTTTGCATTAACATCAACTGAGAATAATTCTGCAAGGCCGACTGACAATCTGTCATTCTCTTCCTTATAGAGGTGAGCTGATTCTCTAACCTCTAAACAATCCAAATTCTTGCCTTTTCTTCCCTTCTATTTCTGAATTATTCTGCTGCTTCTTTCATTATTTCTACAAGCCTACTGAGAATATTCAGAACGTGAACTTGTGTTATATACACATATAAGCTCTATTACTCTGAAGTACTACTACAGGTATCAACTAATAAACCCCCAAATACCTATAGAAAAAACCTCTAACTCTTCCAAACCAAAAACACCAAAAGAATCCTAGACAGAGCTGCCCCTGCAAAACAGATACAGATGAATGCAGAACCAGCCATTACACAAAGCAGAAGCCTGCAATTTCTTAACTTCCTCGTATTCTCCAGTGAACTAAGTGACTAGGAACTGGCCGTAAGCCTATTCCTGCTAAATGTTTTCAGTGACAACTAACATTTGTTGAGCACTTAATGTCAGTTTCACTAAAAACTTTACCTGAATGATCTCACTTTATGGTTACCAAAACTCAATGAAGTTGCTATTCCTACAGCTAAGTAAAACAACTTAGCTTAGGGGCCCCTGGGTGGCTCAGTCGGTTGCACGTCGGGCTTTGGCTCTGGTCACGATCTCACAGTTCTTGAGTTCAAGCCCCGCGTCGGGCTCTGTGCTGACAGCTCTGAGCCTGGAGCCTGCTTCAGATTCTGTGTCCCCCTCTCTCTGCCCCACCCCTGCTTGTGCTCTTTCAAAAATGAATAAACATCAAAAAAAAATTTTTTTTAACAACTCAGGTTTAAAAACATGCTGAATAAGCACAGTTAATCAAGAGTCTGTACCAGAATCCTGGTAGGAGTGATTCTGATGCTCTGTACCTTTTCTAAGCTGCCTGCCTGTGACCAATTCAATTTGAATATTTTAAGCCTTTTATTACTGACTCTGGATCAAAGACCTCCCTCTGGCTAAGTGACAGGTGCTAGTCAGCAGGGGAAAACCTGGGAAATCACCACAGTGGGCTTCATTCCAGGAGTCAGTCAATGCACTGGAGGCCTAGCCTCCCCAGAGAACCCCACCCATGCCCTCCTCATGAATCCCTTTTCTAGTAATAATACAAAGCCCTGTTCCATGCTTACCGTGATATTCTTGATGATCTGCTGCACCAAGATGGCATTGGTTAACATATGAGTCCTGAGGGGTGCATGCTGAAGCAGCAGGCGAAGCAGCTGGCCCACAACAGGCAGCTCCTCAGGTCCAGCTCTGTTCACCCGCAGGCTCTGCAGCATCAACCTGAGGACTCGAGGCAGGAGAGCCAGGATGGAGACACAGACCCCCCACAGCTTGTCCCTACAGTAACAGACAAAAATGAGCCAGTGAGCCAACACACACAGAAGTACCCTTTCTGTATTTTCCAAAACTGAAAATGTCCTTTTAAGAAATGTGGTGTTTTCTGATAAAACCCCACAAATCAAAACTAACAACTGGGTTTCGTCACAGCTGAATAAGCAAATCCAATGAAGAATCAGCTGTTCTCCCCTACTCGGTAAGTTCCAGGAAGCCTAGCAATCAACACTTTCCTGGGCTTACCAGGACATTCTTAAAGCTCTGGTGATCATATATAACACAGAATTAGCCAAAGAACACAATAATCTACATATGCATACTGTTTTCTACCACTGAACATTATTCAACTATCATACCATCAAAAATCCCACTGGTAAAATCAGAATATCCCACTGGTAGAAAGAAAAAAAACTTGGGATGCCTGGCTCAGTCAGTAGGGCATGTGACTCTTGATCTTGGGGTCATGAATTCAAGCCCCACTTTGAAAGTAGTTTATTTAAAAACAAAAACAAACTTCATGAAATTTTAATGCTGTGCCCTGGATTCTGAGCCTCTTCAATGTTTTAAACAGGACAGATATGCAGAGAAAGATGTATTCGCAAGGAACCAAAATGGATTTCAGAAAAGAAGCCAGTCAGTGGACTGCTACCATGTTACTAGATTATGAAAGGCCAGAAACGGTAAATCCTAATTTTAGTAAGCACCATTCCCTTGGTTTCACTATAGGGCAGAACAAAAACGTTTTATGATGAAGGTAAATGGACTTGTAGCCAACCACATTAAATGGAGCAATACCCTTTGGACAAAGAATCCAGTGACTGCTAAAGGCTCTGACCTTAGTCTGTTATAGTTTTCGTATTAGGAGTGGTCCCCAGATCCTTCAAAGAGAATCTGACTACCTTTAGATGTGGAAGCAGCAACCCTTTCACAATCTGATCAACCTCCCCAACTCCATCATGCAGCATCTCTATCAAAGGTGGATACTGACTCCATTCTAAGCCAACCAGATCCTCTTTTTGGAGACTTTATTTGGAGTATTGACTCATGCACAGCCAGGCTAGGATAGCCACGTACAAGGAGAAAAAAGCCAGTCTGCAGACAGCTAATAATGAGGCAAAGGCACAGAGATAAAGACTACACAATCCAGAAGAAAAAGTAGAGAAAACCACTTTGGTTCCTGATGGGTTTCAATTCCTGCCTCCAAAATTCCTAGCCCTTGGGTTTTATTTTATGAGTTACTCCTGTAATGACCCAATATATTCATTGTATACTTTAACTTGAGTGGACTGCTGATCAAAACTGTGCTAAAAAGGCTCATGGATTCTACATAATACTAAATATAAGTACAGTGAATGGATCAATAAAGTTTAGTATTCCACCTTCACACAACACAATTAAAGAAAACTGTCAAGCCAAAGAGAAATACAAGAGACCTGGGTACCACAAGCAACAGAAGAAATACCGTACAAACAGCCATTCCTAGGTTTTCCTAAGAGTGTATATATGTGTGTGTGTGTGTGTATGTGTGTATATATTTATATATATAATTATATATTATATAAATATTAATATTGGTTA